AAAAGTTTGGTTCTGCTTTGTATTTACTGACTTAATTCAATGAATTATCCTCACATGCATTTTATATATTTTGTTTGCTTATTTTGTGTGGGTGTGCTGAAACTAAAAAATTCTGCAGAAAGATTATAAATGGTTTAAAGAATTGTTTCTGCTGACATTTCTCAAAGACTTTCATGCTATTTTTGAGTAATTCTCATCTGTGTATTTAGTACGTTACATATAAATTTATAAGCAATTATATTTTTAAACTAAATATTTTTTCCTTAAGACTGAAGTGAATTTACTTTGAAGCTTAAATGCAAGTTATTAATGTCATCCTCCAGAGGAGTTAATGAGATGTTTTCTAGCAAAAGTAAAAACACAATAATTTGAGTCATCCTGGCCTTTCCAGTGTCTTGCCAAACCTAAGGCAAGCTTCCTGAGCATCTGCTTGAAACCCAAGAATGCAGAGGTTGCTTCAAGAGTCCATCTTGCAGCAAGTAGGCAGACACAGATTTCTGGGTTCTTGAATGTGAAATCAGGATTTAGGATGCCCTGGAAATGTGGGTCAAGCCAGAACTGCAATCCATTGGACTGATCCTGAGAAAAGCATTAATTCCACTGAGCATCTGCAGATATTGAATAAGCAATTTAGAATTTATTTATATTATTTAAAATCAAGTTATATAATAATTTTAATAGAAATAACAAAACCCTTGGAAACTGAGTGTTTACCTTTTTGGCTCACTCTATTGGGTTTAATTAGTGTTACACTATTGCTTACATCATTCAACTGCATTGCAAAGTTGAAGGAACAAAATGAAGATTTATCTTTCAATTCATAGCAGGCACAATTATTAGTTATCAAATAATTCTATATTTCTAACTGATCTCAGATAAAAACAAAGTCTGACTTTAGTGGACAGAGTCAATTGTTTGTGAAACAGAAAAGGCATATTGGGGCATTTGCAATAACAATGAGCAGTTTAGTAGTTTAGGTTTTCAAAAGATGGAAGTTATTTTAGGAACTTTTATTTTCCTTTCAAATTTTCTACCTGAACACATAGAGTTATCTAAGCTCACAAAGATTTTATTTCACCTGTGCTTAATGTGAAGGTTATAAAGTAGCAGGTTTGTTTTGTCTTTCTCTTTTGAGAGTATCTGTGCATTGTAACCTACAATTTTCCAAAAGGACTTGATGTGAACTCACAATAAACTGATGTTCTTTGAGTTGTTTTTGGTTTTTGCTGCTTATGGATTCAGGTAAATCTGAATTATCACAAGCATTTTACAGATGTCCACAGGATAAAAAGGGCAATTCACAACCTCTAGACATTGGGTTTGTTCCAGACTTAGATGAACAGATTAGGGTTCCAACATCAGAAGCAAACAGATCAGAAGATATTATCTTAAAAAGTAATGAAAACAGCATATTTCATGAGCTACACAAGAATCAAACCCTTCATATCTGCTAAGTCTGAAGACAAAATTCTAAGAGAAAATCATAAAGAGATTGATAACATAGCTCAAGTAGCTGGCAGAAAGTAGACTTGGTCATCACTAATGAAAAGTTTTTGGAAGCTTTCTATAAGCAGTGATCCCAACTTTCAACAATGATGAACAAAGTAACATAGAGAAACAGTCTTGGATTGTGCTCTTGCTGTTCACTTCAGCTGTAGGTTTCAAAATTCCTATGAGTGACCAATAAACAAAGAGTCCTCTTTGGCAATTTTTCACCTATGAATGTCATGTTAAAGACCAATAGTAAAAGGAATTAAAAGATTGTACAAAAGCTTTTTTGGATGCATCTCAAAACAAATATGAAGTCAATAAAAAGAGATTAAAGCAATGTTTGGAATATGAAAGGTAGCTTATGAGCAGCTGAAGGAGTATCTTGAAGCAGAAATCCATTCCAGGCAGAGAAATAAACTCATTTAAATTACAGAGAGATTTATGGGATTATATGTAGAAACTGTTCTAAACTATATGGCAAAACCACTAAGGCAACAAATAGTTTGGCTTCTGCAGACAAGAGAAGGTTCCTTGGAACTATAAGGTACAGGTCTTGCCCAAGATGACACAAGAGAAGAAGACAGGAAGATAAGAAAAATCATCTGAGCAAGAAACTCATGAAAATTTACAGATCGACTGTGAACTTTACAGCTTGGAAATATAAAAGCAAGATGAGGGAATGAAAATTTGACATATGTCATATTCAGGAAGAAAACTTGGTACTAATTAAAAATTATCCTCTTAAATTAGTTACTGTGTTCAGGTTTTCATCCTGTGTTGAATCAGGCATGTTTTTTTAGCAAGGAGCTGGCAAAGCTAATGAAGATTTTCCCATTTGCCAGGCTTGTAAGTTCCAACTTATGTCCAGTGTTCTCCGTACTGAGGGCTAAAGTAGCATCCACATAATTCCAATGTCCTCTTCATTAGGACCGTGGCTGATTTTTCTCCTGTAAATACTGTAAAAATGTGATAATTTTAAATGGAAACATTATCTGCTAGACACTTTTATTTTTAAATTCATGTTAAGTTTTTTATCCCAAAACAAATATCATGAAGATGAACAGTGAGGGGCATTTCAGTGACAGATAACCTCAGAAAGGACCCTTGGCTAACCATGTAACAGAACACTTTGGTCTAGAGAGAGTAAGGAAGAGAAAATTGTCTACTTGAACTGGTGGAGCAATTAAAGACATTAATAAGGGAAGATAAAGATACCAAGAAAACTAGACGCACAAAAAGGGGATTTTTTTTTAGCATACTGGGGCAAAAATATTAAACCTTGAGTAAGACTATTACACCTGTAGCTAATAAAGTAGTTATTATTATACATTAAAAGGAAAAGTGTTCTATAAATGTTTGTGATTGTTATCTGGGAAGAAGGAGGATATGCTTTCAGCAGGTGAAAATAATAAAACAACTCTGAGTCAATTAGCAATTAAGAACTTTAAAATAGAGCAAACTTTCTCAACAAGAAAAATATATTTTCAAAGAGTAAGCTCATATGAATTCCTCTAGGAATCCCAGAAGTTTTTTTTGAGAATATCTTTGTCTAGCCATTAACTTTGATCCCTGGAGAGAAGCCAAAGTCCTGGAAGGGAATGTAACTGGTGTTAGTAGCTGTGGACCATTAGTTTACCAGCAATTCTATGTAAAGTAAAATAAAAGAAACCCGATACAGTATTCAATTAAAAAAATTAAGGCCAAGGAACGTAATAAAAGCAAAGTTATGTTATGAAAAATTAATATCAAACAATTTCTTTTCTCTGATGACTTTAGATGTTTGAGGAGTAATAGAAAAGATGAACTACTCTGAACTTTTCTGAAGCATTTGATTAAATACTGAAAAATATCCTTGAAAAAAATAGAACTATATAATGTTAAAAAGCCACATGTTGAATAGATTGCAAATTGGTTAATTGAATTGTTCACTGTTGGAAGTAGCAGTGGGCCTGATGTTATTCAGTAATTTTGTCAGTAAGTTGCATATAATATTATTGCTGCTAAAACTGAGAGCTGAGGTGAAGGCTGAGAGAAGTGAAGGCAAAGATGGACTAAATAAAGTACATTTTAAAGAATTCAGATTTTCTCACCTTGTTTCCATAGCCAGAAACCATTCTATAGAGAGTGTGGAAAGATACCTGACAAAAAAATCTGTAAACAAGAAACTGTTTTCTGTGCCTGACACAATGCTGAGACAATATGTTCTTTGGATTTATAAGCTGGGAAGAAACAGTATTAAGGAGCTTACTTTAAAGTTTATATATCATACTAAAAGAGTGAGAAATTAAAACTGTCTACTTCTGGTCATGTTTTTAGTAGGTTGTTGCAAAACTGGAGCAGATGTAGGAAATAATAAAATTTTATAGGCAAGAGGGAAAATGCCTAAGAACTTTGTCGACCTCTAATTAGCATCTGATCCGGAGTACAGCCTTTCTACAAAAGATACCCAGCATCAAAGGGAATGAGTGGACACAGAGACAGGATGCTAACTAGAGGTCCATAAATGTAGATGAAGAAACTTGTTTTTCTTAACATTAACTCTGTAAAGATCTGAAGCCCAGACTTCTGCTAGTTCTCTAAGTTCTTCTCCATAGACCATGGGAAGATATCGCCACCTTTTGAAGATGATTCATCCATCTGTCTGATGTTTCTTTTTAGGTTAGGTTTGTATGATGTTCTTCGTATATTCCATGTTCTATAGGCCACAGAGAGACTGGTAACTAGATACTTAATTTTTAGAAGGTAAAATTAAAGCCTATCACATATGCTGGATTTATGCCAAAACGGGTTGAATAATCACTGACATGTATTAGTTCTTGATGCAGCTGTAACCCTAAGAACCCTGTCAAAGGGCATGCTAGATAAAGACGACTTTCAAATGGCTGCACAGTTTTTTGACAGGTTAATGCCCATCTGATTTTGTGTTTGAGGAGGGAACTGGCTAAAAACATCCGTGCAGCCATATACTTAACAACTGACATTCTTCATTTGTATTCTTCAAACTCTACACATCCAGGGAAATTTCTGCAGAATTCTCCACTAGGCCAGGAATTAAAGTATGATGCCATAAAATGCCTTTGCCATCTGTGAGTGAATAAGTCATACTGAAGTTTACTTCCCCAATATGTGCCTGTTGGTTACTTTTGTACAGTGGCAATATACTCTGAAATTATGCCAGTTTATTTTAATTACTCCAGTTTATTATTCAGACCACACTCTGAAGGAAGGCAATTATCTGTAGAAACAAATGCAATATTGTAGTAGATGAACCTTCTGTGATTAGAACAGTAAGAACAATATTAATAATATTATGAGATATTACAATTTCTACTTCCTTGGATCAGGAGGAAAAAGATACAATTAAATTTATTGCTGCATAAAAATGTCATGTTTATTCCGCAAGTATATAGGAAATCTCTTATTTTTTACATCAATGAGATGCTTTTTTTTTTTTCCTGGAATGCAAATTTTTTTCTAAACACTGATCAGAAATTGTTTGACTGCCCCTTTCCCAGCAGGTATTAGAGTAACTTCATTGGAGACACCTCAGCATCTGTTCCTCTGTTGTGAGAGTTGTACAGATCTTTTCTTCTAAGAAAAGGAATATATGTGCATGGTTATGAGGGATTTTTCTACACCTATTTAATAAAACAATATGATCCATTGTAGTTCATGAATTTATTCTATTGAGAATGGAACAAATCCTCCCTTTTCAGAAAGAGAAACAGCAGAGATGAAAAGAGAGCCAAGTCAAGCTTTTGAGAGTTCCCTGAATATGTATACTTCAAGAATATTTGTTGATGAATTAGTGGGCTGGAGAAAATTCCTGGAAAAGAGAGAGACAAAATTAAATTTTGAGATCTTACCATTCCATATGTCCAAATATGCAAATTATGCATTAAAAATTTATAGTACATATTATTACTTACTTATGAGTCAAATTAGTATTTGCCCCCCCTCAGGCAATGAAACACATCAGATGTTATCCTCTGTTTCTCCAGACTGGTGGGAAATCAGGTCTAGATATCAAGGGGTCTTTTTTTACCTTCTGATAAAGTGTATCTTATATGTAATGTGGTACAGAAATAAATATAGAATGAGATATTGAGATACAAAAATACAAAAGCAAATCTTACTTTTACATCTCTAAACAAAGAAAAAGAATTTCCTTACTTTATTACACTTAAGCACTCCATCTATCTCAGGTCATGTTATTGACACAGCTAAGCTTAAAAGCCTGTTCCAAGAGTAATGCTAGAAAATATACCGATTTGTGTCAAATTATTGAAAAAGAATTCCAGCCTAGGACAGTTTGGGAATATTGTTTTCTTTGTCCATTCAGTTTGGAGTGCATGCTGGCACTGTGAGCTCAGTTTGGTCTCTAAGTATGGGAGAATGTCTGCAGTTGCACAGTTGAGCATTTTCATTGAAGCTGAGTGGTTGGAAAGGGCCAAGGAGCTGACAGTGTTTATCAAATGATAATATTTGATCACAGGTCTTCTAGTTTCATACCAGTTTGACATTTTGTTATAGGTGGTCATCTACAGTCCTTCTTTGATGGGTCAGTGTAGAAGGCACAAACCAGACAAGCATTACCAAAACAGATGTGTTAGATGTGTTGACTGCATTGTGTGAGTACACAAAGTGGTATAAAGCTCTGGAGTGAATATGAAATTAGGTGAGACAGGTCCCACCAAAGTCTCCAAGAAGTTCTCTCTAATTTATATACTTTAAGTCTTGGGATCAGAGAGCATCCATTTTTTACACGAGATCTGATGTTGCAAAGTTTTGGATTTTTACCTTGACCTGCCATTAATGCAATCGTAAAAGTTAGTACTATTGGTAGCAGTATTTACAATAAATTTTGCATGTCTATCTGGTATAATACATAACTCTGCATCTTGGGAATCTGATGCAGCATGTTAAATTGGAGTTGGGCATTCATTTGTGCTAGTAAAATGTAGAATAAAAAACATATGCCCCCATCAATAGGATCTTTTTTGTCAAAAAACTTGTCGAACATGAACAATATGAGACTAAAAACCTAGACATAAAAGTGCTCGAAGGGATAAATAAACTGTCCAAACTAATTTAATATTTTAATCCCCAGAGTATTGTGAAGATTTCATAAGCCTTTTTTTCAGAAAGCTTTACAGAAGGAGGGAATAGATGATAGGAGACAGCTGGTGGCAGGAGTAGCGATTGGAATGGTTTTACTGCTTGGTGCCATTTTGTGTATAGTTCTAGCACATGTGAGTACAGAATTTGACTCTTGTAGAATCAAGAAGAATATTAAAAGAGCTGTCAAAAAGATGTCCCACCTGGAGAGAATAATTATGGTATCTGATATTTGAGATGATTATCGATGTTTTTAGCTTTATTACCATCAATATATGGCTCTGACATTACAGACAATTATCTGTTTATCTATTTATCTTTTCTTTCTCCTTTTTTTTTCCTTGCTTTAGTGACATTGAATGTAAAGTAACATTTTATTCTTTTTGTTAATGTGCTCAGGTAGTTAGGAGGTTACATTAGACTGCTGTGAGTTCCTGTGGTTTTCTGTGGTTATGATCAACCTTAGCAAAATGAATATTGTGCTTGCAGATGAAACAACATCTAACAGAAGAAAATGAGAAGGAGAGAGAAGATAATTTAACTGACTAATTAAGAGCCCAATCTGCATGTGATGGGACAATACTTAGCTCAGAACCACTTAGCCTTTCTGGTTTTGTCAACTTAAGAGTACATTATACGATATTCAGCATAGAATTATAAACTCCAGGGACTTTATTCAGCTGAAGTACCCACATTTCTTATATCTTCAAGGAACATGACCCTCATTATACCCCTTGAGTATGTAATTATCTTGGAACAGCTACACACCTTGGTGCATTTTATAGTCCCCTTAAAATGTTATATTTACTCTTTTCTTCTAAAGCCTCAGGCAGACAAAAAGTTGGAAGCAGAATGGTTAAGGTATCTTGTTACAAACCTAGGGATTTCAGCTCACTAGAACTTAGGTGGAGAGCTTACTCCAGCTGGCAGTGTTTTAAATGAGAATCTGATGTCCTTTCTCAGGGAAATGGTTAGCATTGAGTCTAATGGGGTGATCTGAGCTTACATAGGGCCAACCCACCAAAGAAGTTGTCTTGCTTCTACCACCTTAATAACACAGTAAACTGCTTGAGCTCATGGGAGACTTTTAACTTGGTGTTGTTCAGAGCAAAAGTCATCAAAAAATGAGTTATCCAAATGTATCTGATCCTACAGCTGCCAAAGATAATGAAGGTGTTTTCTAACATCTTGAGGGGAGAAAAGTGATTGAGCACTTGCATGTTTTAATTACCTTCACATACGAAAAAGAACCTGAGCCATCCTCAATTCCCTTATTTTATTGAAAAAGTTGCACTTGAACTTCCCTATGAAAAGATGTTCTTCAGGCATTCTTTTCCAAAATTTTAATCTATATGTAATATCCTTTATAGGCATAGTTTTCTGCATAAAAACTCAGAAGATCCTATTTTTGTGACTTAAATTAGTGTGTGCTTAAATGCATTGCTAGGCAAATGATATGGAGTGCTCTGTCAGGCATTAACAAATAAAATTACCACATGCCACAACACCAGGAAAAAAAATCCAGTAATTCCATCATTCAGCTTTCCTCTGTGGGTAAAACTATTTTCAGATGACTTTAAAACATAAGAGCAGAAGTATTTGCTCAGACAAAAGACACATCTGTGACAGGTAAAAGTGAAACCAATGAAGAAATACAGTACTAGAGTAAATATTTCTCGGAATATTCTCCTTCTCTCCAAGAATGTTCAGCTTAGCTGTGTTTGATATCCCTCAATAGATTTCAGATCCTCAAAGGTGGATGTATTTAACGGAATGGACTTCTGCAAAATGTTGCAACTTCTCCTTTACACACAGTGCTAGTGTTACATTAATTTTCCTTTTTTCTTCTTGGTGGAGAAGCATCAAACTAGCACAAGAATTTATCACAAGATCTCAGGGAAATCATTATTTCCTGGCAAGGAGGGTAAAACACAACAAGAGTAGAACTGTACTCTTGTTTTTACTCTACATTTGGATGTTTTTTTCTGTTTTACATTACTTTCAAAGCTAATTTTCATTTCCTCCAATTGTACATCTATCATGACCTACATTTAAACAAATACAGTTTTCTTCTATGCTCAATTGAAAAACTGGAATAATTCAGTCATTTACAGCAGAGCTTTACAAATTCTATACTTGTACCAGCCTAAATACAGAGGATTTGCTGTGAATTTCAGAAAGTTATTCCAGATTTCAACAGGAATGAACAGAAAGAATGTGATTCAATCTCCCACAATGATTTTCATGCCACTTGAAGTTACTAGCTGCTGCTCAACAGAGGTATCTAATACATATTCATGTGCTACTCTTAGCATTACATGTATGGTCAGTCACAATAGGATTTTTGTCGTTAAACTAGTTGTCAATTGAGATTTATGAAAGTAAAGTTGTTCACATATAATGTTAGAACATTAAATCCTTCAGATTTTGTTAAGTGCTTTTAATCTGTTTAAGCTAATCTCATTCTTGTTTCTTTTCCTGCCTTCTGTAAATACTGGGTTTTTGTTGTGTAGTGATTAACAAATGTACCCATCTGATAGAATTTTTAAAATCAAACTCTAGAGAAATCAGTAGAACATGCCATAGACCAGCTTTGCCTCACTACGCACACAATCTGTTTCACTTGGTGTAAAACGGCAATGGACCTATCGATATTTACATCACCAATCTATCCTAGAGAAAGAAGTTGCAGTTGCAGTGAACACAGAAAAGGGAGTGAAGGCCTACAGGAAAGGCATGGTTGAGTTTTAGTGGCAGTTAAAAGGTTAATTAAAAATTGCCTCAGAGTTCTACAGATTTCTCACTGGACATATGCAAATATTCATTGTTATTTAGATATAAGGCTTAACCTCATGGAGCTAGAGTTCTAAGACGGATCTCAGTCAGTGAGTTGCTCAGTAAGGGTTAAAAAACCCTCTGAGGAATTCACTAGTAATGTTGAAACTACAGTGGTTACCTACTTGCTTAGAGTTTCTAATGTTTTTTGCAGTTTGCAATTAACACCTTTTAATTGTTGCAGGATCTTGGAATTTTTTTTCTATTTTTAAATCATGTTTTATAGTTACTTACTCTTTGCAGTGAGAGGTGATGAATTGTTTTCTGTGTGATTGGCATGGGGGCTATACGTCTATCAGATACCAATAGGAACTATTAATTGTGATGGTAACCCAATCAAGGTATATGTTATCTAATGTGCTGTACCTGTTGCTCACCTGTGCGAGATTCAAAGTGATCACTGACAGCTCTATGATTTAACCTCTTTTGAAAAATGACAGCTGGGGACTCATTTTGTATTTCCCCTCAAATAGCCTTCTGATTGTTTATTCAATATATCTCTAGTTTTTGAAAATATTATTATTCCAGAGTCAGTCTCAAGTGTGTTACTTTGGTCCGTAATGTGAAGAAGCCCTTATTCATTCAAGCCAAACCACTGTAGATCCAAGCCAGAAATTTTTCTTCTGCTGATACCTGTGGCTAAGACTGGATGCTTTCAGGAGTCAAGGCCTTACTGCCACATCCTTTTTCAGAATGTCTTGTTTTGATTCTTGTTGTCTTGTCACAGCATATTTTTGTGTCTATTTCACCTTGTCATCTATCTATCTATGTTGATGTTTTCTTTCTGGGAATTTCCATCCACCGAATATCTATGTGCAAATGTGGTTTTCCTCATCTTATTACATGTATTTGGTCAAGGTGAAGCCCGTGCTG